TCGCCCCTGGGGCGCCCGGTGCCTCTGCGGGGGGACCCTGCCGCGGCCGTGGGCTCTCCCCGCCGTGCTCTCGGCACTCTTGCTGCCAGGCTGGCCGGGGAGCGGGGAACACCGAGCTCTGCTCTGCTCAGGTGGGCCAAAGCGGTTTCTGCTCTTACAGCTCTCTGTGGAGTGCTGCTCCCTTGCAGTCCTGAAGCTCTTGGAAGTGCTCCATTCGCTCCACATGCCCTTAAAATAATCTCCATTGGGCTCCGAACGTATTTTCACCTCATACGATGCATCGTTTTCAAGGTTTTTCCCCAGCAATTTTACCTGAAGGTATGGCGACTCTATTGTCTAAACACACACGCAAAAAAGTCCAATTATTTTTCTGGAAGACACAGGAAAAGTATCTTTGAGTTTCAGCAAAATGTGTGAGATCAGGTGCATCCCTGCAGAACTGTGCTGTTTGCTCAGTGCCTTTGGTTATTACACAGGCGGTCACCATGCCATCGGTCTAGTTTGACAGCAAGGCAGTCCAGACCGTACCGAGAAGGAGACTAATGCTGGGTAAAAGCTCTTTGGAAAACAGTTGAAGTTATTAACTGTGCTTCGCTACTGCCGACACTGCAGTGGGAAATATACACTTCCTTGGGAAGTCTCAGAAGAGAGAGGGGAAAAATGCATTTGTGAGGACTAAAAAGACAGCTTCTGAAAGAGCATCTGCAGGAAAGAAGCTGAAATCCCACAGTGCAGCTCCGGTGCTCTTCATTTCAGTGTATTTGGTTGCCTGAATCCTTTTCTTCTGCTCCCACTGTAAAAACCAGCCAAAGTCCACGCTTTCAAACACGCCCCATCTGGACTCGTATCTGCGCGGCCGCCCTTGTGAGGGGGGACACGGAGGTCCCGGCAGCCGGGCGGCCCAAACCAGACACAGTGCACGGGCAGTCGCAGCCCCAAAACGGTCTGAGCGTGCGAGAGCTGCGGGGCTGCTGGAGAGGCTCCGTGAAAAAGGACACGAAGAAACTGTTGCTAACTAAGAAAAGGGGTCCAATGATTCAATGACTGATGAGCACCGAAAATCAGAGCAAAACCAGAACAAAGAGCAAGCCACGCAAACACTTAGGGTGGCCTGTTAACATTATGTCCTCCCTTTCCACTGCAAAGCCCACGTGAATGACACTTCATTAGCCCAGATAAGTGCCTAACAGACATGGGTGCTGTCGGTCTAGAATTGTACTGATGAAATTTCCAAATGCCAAATATTGCACCTTTCCAAGTTTTCAGCTGGAGAATTGTAGAAATGTGGACTTGAGGGTTTTTACATGACACTGGTATTTCTGATAACGTTTAATTTTGGAAATTCATGTGAGCTCACCAATACATCATCACTTACCTTCCAAGTACCTTCTTCATGCCGATAGGCTATTTGGTGTATTAATTTGTCTTTTAAGTATTTCTTCCATGAGTGTGGTGTACTATAATGGATAAGATACTCATTCGCCTCCTTTTGGTATGTGATATTTATATCAAATGGTACTTCAGGCTTAACTGCAAATGATAACAAAACAGGATGTAACAGGAGTAGAAGTTACTACAAAATAAACAGGTTTTGAAAAGTAAAAAAAGAGTCCACTTCAAGTTACAGCCCCTGCAGGGTGACCTATCCTGCGCAAAGGCTGGCCTGAGCTGGGCCAGCCTCATGCTGAGCATCAGGTTGTCCTTACACCTTGGACCTATGAGGGGCTTGGTTTTGACCTGCTGGAGCAGCAGTGTGACCAGTCAGGGATGGTACTTCCTAGGGATGTGACATTTAGTCTTGGAAAACAATTCCTGAGCATGCCACCCCTGCGGTAGCACTGCTTGAAGACCTGGAATTCACTGCTTCTAAGCAGTGCTCTGAGACGGAGACCCCATGGCAAAACCCATCACTGTTCTGGGAGGAAGGCACTGGGTAGCAAACCGGGTACGGGTACAACTGCTGGTGGCTGTCAGGGCGGTGGGACAGAGGACGGGACAAAGTATGACAGTGCTAGACATAGCAGAGGGGGCTATGGCTCCAGGCCCTTGCTATGAACCCACACCTGCCCTGGTCTGCAGGAGACTGTCAAATGACCATCCATGCAAGTACATCAAGTCCAAAAATGCAGCCCTCAGGACTCTCCCCAGGCTCTGCCAGAGCTGGATGTGCCTAAGGTCTGCAGGGCCCTGTGTTTGTGCCACTGATGCGTACTGAATGTGCCATGTAAAGTACATCAGCTCTCCCACAGAAACAGAGCCCACACCTCTCTCCTCTCAGGAAAATGCATATAGCCAGAAACTATGCCCGCTCCTTCTGCAGCCCCCAAATACTTAATCTTTCCATGCAGAGCTCTCAGTTTACTAGAGGAGAGAACACCAGAGATGGTCCAGGCTGGCCCATAAACTGAAAGGTAATGTAAGATTATTATAAAACCATTGGACTGAGGCAGAAGTGTTTCAGGGATGTCACAGTGCCTATTGCCAAAAGAAGGCAAAGCAATGTGGCATCAGAGCAGAACAGAGCCCTACATGGGCTTCTCTGCAGCCCTCGAACGAGAACAGCTCCCAAGACAGTAAGTCCTAAGGAGGCCCTCTTCCCCCAGGTTCCCTATTTCTTGGCTCAGGGAGGTCCCCAACATGGCTTTGATGAGCCCATTCATGGGTTCTCGGTGTCCCTTCTGCACTGCAGAGTGCCTGAGAACCTCATTCAGACAACAGGTTCCACCAAGAAGCAAGATGTGAAAAAGTGAGATCTTGCAACCTTGTGGTCCCTGTGCTACCGAGCTCACACTAGACTTGGGGTGGTCAGTCCTGAAACTGACCATTCCCTGGTAAGAGATGCACAAAATGTCCCTGCTCAAGCGGTTCAAGCAGAGTTCATCCGTGCTCGGGAGCAGCACCTTCCTCCATGTGCATGATTTGGTCTATGTCCAGGTCTGGGCAGAGTGATACAATAAGCCAGAATTCAGCTGCACATTTGGAATGGAGGTTAATCATGTTTGGCTGTGAAGCAAGGGGAACACCCTGATCCAGGCTACATGCCCTGCTAGGACACTATTATACTGCCTCTGTGTCATCCAGATTGATGCTTAGGCTATGTGCTGGACTTTTGTTTTTTTCCCCCAGTAACCCCTATATCTTAAAAATGTCCAAAATGTTAAGTGTCTTACCAATGTCAGTTACAACCAGACTTCTGCAGACTCTTCTCTTTATCTCAGAGTCCATGCAAATGTCTTTATTTGAAAGTATATCAGTGAATTGTAAGAAATACGCATCTTCCTGTTTCTCCATATCGAAGCACATGTAATTGCTGTCTTCCTTGGTACTGTTGACCAAAGTGACACAACGTTAATTTCTTCTCAGTCCTATGATAACATAGTAAGGGACAAATCCCAGTTGCTTGTTTTACATTACGTTAACTGGTGAGACTCCATGTGAAATAAGAAAAAATGCCCTGAAAATAAGGAGTTTAAAAGATTGATAGTGTTTTACCTTGTGGTCTTTGAGCACAATAATCAACGATGTGAATCACATAAGAGTCCTGGAGCTCTCCAAGAAAAAAAATGCAATTATTACATTGAAGAGGTATGTGTTAAAAATCTTTCTATCTTTAAAAATTATATTACTGCTGCCATTTTTAAATATAGGGCAATAGGTTTGGATGCTCACTGAAGATAAAGAGAAATTTCTTGTTGACTGAAGTGGTAGCAGGGTCAGCAGTCAGCCAGGCCATGAAGGAGTCGTATGGCACAGAAGTGGGAATATATCTGTGTGTTCCTCCATCTGTGCAACTCCCACGTTTGAGGACTGTCATAAAATTTCAGTCAAAATCCAGAATAAATCCCATGAAAACAGAGGAATTCTAATAAGCTAGGTGGAAAAAAATTAAGTCATGATTTGAATAGCAAAATAAAAAAAAATTCCACTCCTTTTACTGGTTGCGACAGAGCTTTCAGTTTCAGGAAAAACAGGCAAAGGGAAAAGCAAAAGTACGCTAAAGAAACAAAATCTGAGCTTCTTCAGCTAGGTCCATCAGTTAAAAAAAAGGTGGAAAAGAGTTTCAAGGCCTCAATGAGAAGTGGAGATGACTGATGTATTTGGGAACTCTTCGGTTTTTGCATACTCATTCTATTGTGTTTTTTGTATGTCTGGGTGTGCGAAGACAATTGTTTAATTTTTGTCTTGACCTAGATAAAAGCATTTTCCCTGCAGTATAAAATCAGTCTCCTTGCCAAAAAATTTTCTGTGGAAAGGATCTGCCTCTCCAAAAATATTTTTACTTTTCACTTGATAAGGAGTAAGTTCGGTTTTTTAAATATCATTTAATTTAAAGGAAGAATGCTTTCAGTTCATGCTGGGCTACATCTGTAATTGCAAGCGTTCCAGAGCAACAGAGGCAAGATCAGGACTATTGAAGATGTTATAATGCCCTTTACAGACCCCTCCAACTGTTTTTTTTTCTTATTAGGGAGTTATGTTCTGTTTCAGAAAACTCTTCTTCTTTGCTGAATATAGTATTCAAACTTGGTAAAACACTCTGAAACAGAATTTTGTCTAGCTTTGCTGCTCCTGTTTCCCAGCATATGGCAACGTAACTCACTGGTGCTTAACATTTAGCTTCCCAGAAGTTCACCAAAGGATGGACTGACAGCACTTACCACAGGGCCAGGGTGTAGTTAGTGTTGTGAGGAGGCATCTCAGTAAAATTGCAGGTCAGGCTGCTATAGGAATCCTTAAATTCCAGCTGGCTGAAGCAGTTGATGTCAAAATTATCTGGTTCATCATCTCCAAAAGTCCCTAAAGAGAGATTTGCAGGACGTTAGTGAAGCAAACCCGTGAGTGTATTCGATTTACAACTCCATTGCCTAGGAGGATGTTTCTTTGTGTGGTTGCCTGAAAGGAAGAGGACCAACTCACCTCTTCCGTAAGACGCAAAGAAAGATTGTTCAAAATTAAATTAAAAGCCACTTGTGCCTTTCAAGGTTGCTCTCCCTGCACGCCAGTGAGGCCCACCCACTTACCGTGCACGAAGGTACACTGCATCATCAGTCTGTGAACTATGAAAAGACATAGTTGGTGAAAACACAGATGGTTTGGTCAGATGAGACACCTGTCTGTTCATTTCTATTAATCATGGGTAAAGAGGGGCCCTGATGTCAACCTGGGAACTTATGTGAAGAAGTCCCGCTGTCAAGTACAAAACATAGAATATATATCGTCCGTTCTGCAGTTTAATTCCTCCAAAGTTTGAGCCAGGGAGAGGGGAATTCTCATTTTAAAAATTAAAGGTAAACTTTATACTGAGATAAAAGTAGGACCTACTCCACCTGGAAATCATCTCAGAACTTTCTCAAACAGGTTTTCCTATGAGGAACCACAAAAGGTTTCTATCCTTGGGCATGTGAAAGGGAGCAAGACATATTCATGGTGCCTGTTGAAAAGCAGAATATTCAAGTCAAGGACCAAAACACTCTTGAAAATAAATGAAACAGAAATGTGCATTGGGAGATATACCCTGCCTGGTTACTGCCAGCGGTGTCTGAGGCTGATGTCTGAGGCTAATGTCTGCTCAAGAGCAAGGGCTAGTTTCAACAGGAGTTATTTGTACGGGAATTTCAGCTCAGGAAAGCCTGAAAGTGCATCAGACACCTTGCACCTCCGAAGTGGCAGACCCACAGCTGAGGATGCATGCTTGGCACTTGTCATTGCTACACCTGCACCAGGACCATCCGTGTTGCAGACAGCTGAGAGCACCCGAGCAGCGTCCTCCTGCCCCTGCTCTGCCCCTGCCCATGCGGTGAAGGTCTGATCGGTCACCATGCTCTTGAGAAGACTGGAAAATTATATGGGTGGTTTTAGGAAAACAGAAGTATTTTGGTGTCATGAGGCAATTAAGCCCCATTTTGATTGTGCTGCAAAGTTTTCTGAAATGTCACAAATTTGGGCTCAGGAGGAAAAGCTTAGACTTTCTGCCAGAACGCATGGCTTCCTGCAAATTTGCTTTGATGACTAATAAAACAATCATGATTTGACTCAGAGCACATGTCTCAAGTCCTACACTTGGCAGGTATGAGGTCAGTGAAGCAAAACCTGCTACTTCTGAGAGGAGTTCTCTCTGGTGGAAACTGCCTCATTTCTCATGGGTGAAATCTCACCCACTCTAGCCGAGCAAACAAGGAAAGTGTTACTGCCATGACCCCTTGAGTGTTTTTAGGAATGCCTCTGTCTCCTTTTAGGAGTGGTTAAGGGTAGCTGTGATGATACAAAACCCTCTTCCCCATGTCCAGGGACTATTCCCAATCCCCTGCTTTGTCCTCTCCTACCCTCTCCTCAGACGTGCCCTTGTCATGTGGGACACCTGCTGCAGCAAGAAAAAGACTTTGGCTGCTCCAGGGATATCAGTGACACAGTCACGAACAGTGTGAGAAAATGCCCATGGAAACATTTCCAATGGAAAACCCCTCCCAGAGAAAATGATGGTCATGTCTGCTCACACTCGGGTGAATCAGATCACGGACGTGTGACCAGCTGCTTGGATACCATGATTCATGGTCCTGCCCGTGATGTCCTATGATCCCTGGCCAATCCTGCCAGCATACAGGGAGACCCAGACCTTGTCCAGCATGGGAGCACATCTGAAGATCCAAAATGGTCATGGTTTGACATCGGAGAGAAAGCAGGGGAGAGTTTTTTTGATTGCTTTAAAATGTAAGTAAAGAGCGTCACCCCAAAGGGTCACTATCAGCAGTGCTTCCTCCTGACCCCGGAGCTGAGGTGCATCTGGAGTCGGGTTTTGAGTAAGAGAAGAAATTCAGAAGTCAGTCAGGAATGCAGAGAAAAATGCAAAAGCAGTGCGGGCAGAGGCTGGGATGGGGGCTACTGCCACCAGCACCCATGGAGGGCAGCAGGAGGGGCGGGAGCACCCGATGCTGCACTGACCCAGAACCCAGAGGCAGATCTATCCCTGAGCTAAGATTTAGTGGCCATTTGCCACCATGAGCAACCAGTGCTAAGAAGCAATTACTGCTCTTCCCTTCTCACCGCAGCTCAGGCGGGGTCTGTCCCAAGGGGAGCGCCGCTCTCCCTGAAGAACAGCGAAACCTGGCGTCTTCCACTAGCACTGCTGGTGGGACAACCTGTGCGGCACGGACACGGACGAAGCAAGTGCTGTACAGAGACTCCCTGTTCGACCGTCACAGCCAAGAGAGAGGCAGAGAGGCCAGTGCAGCTCTAGAACGAGCCCTGTGGCCATTTCACACAGGTGAGAGTCTTGACCGACACAGCCCGGAGCCACCTGGGCAGACATACGTATTCAGAAATGTATATTACATGAAGTCACATGTTTGTGGGTAAAATTGTGTGCATATAGGTATACATATATTAAAAATTCAGGGGATAACAAGTAAGCTGAAATAATCTGTAAGAAAGCCATATTTTATATAGATAGTTGCACCCAAAGCTCGCATGCACAGATATGTCACCTTTTATGCCTCTCTAAGACTTTACATGCAACTACCAGGAGACTGGCTTATTTATACTTACAGCTACCTCAGGACAACATTAAAACTTCTGAATTAGGATGACTGATCTTCCTTTATACAAGCAAAAGAGACTGCTCAGTGCTCTCTGTGTATGCAAACTGCATACATAAACACACAAAACTGATAATCGTCATATTAATAAATGGCATATCAGAAAAAATCTTTCACCTATCTGCTACTGCTTTGCTGAAAAGTGACAGAAATTTTAAATCCTTCTCTATCAGCCTGACTGCGAAAGGAAAAGACAGAAAAAGCTTTTGTCTTGCAGTTCAAACAGCCATTTAATGTTTAACCCGTGTAGTGCACCTTTGGTGCCGCACTGGAAGGAAAACTGACTTTACCTCTTTGACTCTGAACTTCCGTGTTGTGATTACGTCGTTCCTTATTCATGGAAATAACTCCCTAACCATAGAACAGATGATAATTAAACCTCATGAACGGTGTTAAGCAATCCATTTGAAATGCTTTTTCTGGCATGGTTCCTCCATGGGCTGACGGTAATTTTTTTGTCTGACATAAATATGCATGTAGCCTCAGTTACACTTCTTCCCTAAACCTCTGAACCACCACGCTGCATAAATGCTTTTGATGACTCCAGCATGACTTACGCTGCTAAGGACTCTACACAATTACAAGATTAAGTTTACAAGATTATATTTTTTCCCTTGAGAAGCCCAGACCGGGCAGAGCCCTGAGGCTGGCTCTGCTGAATCAAAGCAGGGCTTGAGATGGGGCGATTCTAGTGGGAGAAAAACTTCTCTTGTAGCTACAGCCATGGCAGGTCCTTCACAGAAATGGTTGTCTCTTGGGCCTGGACAACCCCCAGCAGGACGGTTTTGCCTTTACAAAGAGAGGAGTGTTAGCCGAGGCTACGGACATGCTTCAGCTTTAAGCTCTGAAGCCACCGGTACTAACAACAGTGCATGAAACCAGAGGCACTGCTAAGCTCCTGCAGGATCAGTGACCAAATTTCCAAAGTCAGACTAACATGAAATCTCTCATGCTGATCTGATCCAGACAGAACTCATTTTAATCGCAAGAATTTCGATGTGGGTTGGACAAACCATACAGTCTGAGTAGGAGGACCACTGAAACCAGCCATCCTGCCCATGAGACCCTGCTACCCCTGTCCAAGCCCTCCTGCACCTCTGTGGCTGCCCTTCTTATCTCTGCTTGCAGTTCTCTTAGGGAACCTCCACCACCTCTGCCAGGCTGGGAGACAGCACCTGGGAGACAGTCTGCCACCAGGAAAGATGAAGGCAAGTGCTGCAATGAGCTTTTCCCTCCTCTGCCGATAAGAAGGGGTGAGCTCATGCCTGTGTCAGCTGGTGGTACTTTGCCAGGAGACAGGGCAAGTTGGAAGGGCGAAGAGTGAAAGCCAAACATCCATCATGGGTGGTTTTACCCTGGATTGTTTAATTTGTTGGCCAAGCCTACAAGACTCATAAAGATGTCATAAAAGCTGCTAATTGCTCAGTAGGGATTTTCTGAATCTGTTTGTCTTTAATCCTAAACAAACTGGTTTACTGGAAGTTAGTGGCAATACAAGGGAAGGGCCAGTCACATCTGCTTTCAGGAAGCCCTGAAGATTTCAGTGACACCAGTGATAAATCACTAGCATTGACCATTCACCACCATAACTACTTGCCAAAGCTGGCTCTGAGCAGCTGCAGATTGTATAAATAAAAGGCACGTAGGAAAAAAAAGGTAGTTAGATGCAGTTTTTAGCCACTCCTCATTTTCTTCTAACTAAAAAACTTACCATGCATATCCTATGTATGTATGTACTTATGTATAGATACAAAGTATTATAATACATGACGCAGGAGAAAATGAGATTCCCAACCTGCGAGACAGCCATTATCTTCCTACAAATCTTCCTCTTTTGTTCCCAAACAATGGAGTCCTAAAACTACCATTACCTGAGCAACTGCCCATGTCCTTCAGACACGGTGCAACAAGCTCTGTCACTGCTGTTTGTTTAGTATTAGACAAGTAAGAGTTTAGCTGATCTGGGACTGAACCTGCAAATCCAATTTTTCAGCTCCTTTTTGAGAAAAGGGACAGCAGACTGAAACAGTGGTTTTATTGCTGCTCCCTGTGTTTTGATTTTTTATTTTGATGTTGATTGATAAATAATTTTCACTTCTCTAAATGAGATGATGAAATCTGCAATAAACCTAAATTTAAACTGTTGAATTAATTTATAATTATTTGCTAAGGGATGAATGCTCGTAGTGGTGGGCTGAGTTACTGCTCCAGTCATACTATGAGGGAGACTGGGACTATCCCCCAGACACACCTGATGCAATTGCTTAAAGAAAAAGAGAAAAAGTTTGGCTTTTGAAGTGGAACGGTTTGGGCCAAGTTTGAGGTTCATTGAAACATTTTCTTTGGAGGAAACTGCCAAAAGCAAGAGAAGCCAGAACCTCACCCCTCTTTGACAGCAACTCAGAGTGACCATGGACTGCAGAAGTCCCTGCTCCCAGGCATAACTCCTGACATGAATACTAGGTACAAAAAGAAGGGTTTAACAGGTCTGATCTTGCATTCCCTCTGCATACAGCTATGGTCTCCCTCATTTCATACAAATTTGGATGTTACAAGGAAAGCAGACTTGGGAATTAAGTTAAACAGGTACCCTCCAGCTCCACATCCACCTCGGGTACCAGCACTAAAAGAAAGAGACTGGAGGCTAAAACACTAACACATTTAACCCAGCAGTTGCATTTTGGAGCTCTTAACTCAGGTTTTTCAAGATCATGCACAAGTGGAAAGATGAAGATGAAATGACTCACCATCACCATCTGCTGAGGTGCAACCACTTTCCCCAAAAGTGGTGTGAAGAAACAAGACGAAAATGCTCAATACTGTACTTGTCTGTGTCATCCTGAGCATGCTGCATGTGTGCACTACGTGTGTGTGCAAAACCCGTGCTCGCTTACTTTATACTAGGCGCAGAACAAACCCATTGCCTGATAAAGAGACCGCAGGCAAGGGGAAATGTAAACATGCCGACAAGGATGACTAGTGGTGGAGAGCAGGAAGCCAGCATGAAGATATTTGCAGAGCTTTTACTTTGAAACATGCTTCCCACTTCAAAACTAAGGACCTTCTGGAACAGGCTCATTGACTCGTTGGGCTGAATCTGGTCAAGTCCAGTGGGTCAGGAGCACATTTCTTGGACCGTGGTCCTGGCTTGGATCGTGGGGTTTTGGCTGCTGATTTCCCTGAGAACACGGTTTAGTCCTCTCATCCACTCTCCTCTCAATGGAGGTAAACAAGTCCAAGGGAGAGACCTCTTCCAGCTGTGAAACATGAAGTGTGATTGTTGTTACTCACTCCTTAAGTGTTGTCATCCAAAGCAGCGTGGCCAGCAGGTTGAGGGAGGGGATTCTGCCCCTCCAATCTGCTCTGGTGAGACCCCCAACTCCCCACCTGGAGTCCTGTGTCCAGCTCTGGAGCCCTCAGCACAGCAAAGACATGGACCTGTTGGAGCGAGTCCAGAGGAGGCCACAACAATGCTCAGAGGGATGGAACAGCTCTGTTGTGAGGACAGGCTGAGAGAGTTGGGGTTGTTCAGCCTGGAGAAGAGAAGGCTCCAGGGGCACCTTACTGCAGCCTGCCAGGACTTAAAGGGGGCTTAGAAGAAAGATGGTGAGAGACGTTTTACCAGGGCCTGTAGTGGTAGGACAAGGGGCAGCAGTTCTAAACAGAAAGAGGATAAATTTAGATTGGACATAGGGAACAAATTTTTTATGATCGGGGCTGGTGAGGCACTGGAACAGGTTGCCCAGAGAAATTGTGTATACTGCATCACTGGAAGTGTTCCAGGACAGGCTGGACTGGGGGCTTTGAGCAACCTGACCTAGTGAAAGTTGTCCCTGCCCATGGCAGGGTGGTTGGACTAGACGATCTTCAAGGGTCTCTTTTAACCCAAACCATTCTTTGATTCTACAAAGTCCCACATAAGGCAATGGTTACCCAGAAAACTGTGATTTAAAAGACTAATCCCGCAAAACATAGCTCCTGAGAACAAAAAGTGGTACATCTCATTTTTCAGGCTTTGGACAAAGCAGAGGCAGAAAGTGGAAGATAACGGGGTGTTAAATGTTTCCTTCACACACTTTCTGTGGCTGTATACACCAACGCACACTAGAGCGTAGTGCAGGGCCATGTACACAGCTGACTGATGTGGCTAACTACAAGTGAGCTGAAGACCTGAAAGAGAAGAGCAAGCTCTGGCACAACGCTGGCTGCATCAAAAAACTTTATGTCGGAGGCGTAAAGGAAGCCAAGGGCAAAACTGGTAACAATGCCCCAGCAAACAGAAAAATTATGACACTATAATAAGGAGACTCAATATGGAAGCCACAGCAAATTTTTCCTTTGCAAGGAAATAATTTAAACCACTCACAAAAATTATGAAAGCTTAGCCCTTGTGCCCAGAGAAGTGTCCTTCTTGCCAGGACATCAAAGACTGTTCTCCAGTGTCACTTGCTGCCCTGAACAAGGGGCAAGGGGTAGCCAAGGGGGTGTTTCTGGGCTCCCCTGCCCTGTTTTAATGGGAAGAAATAGCTTCCTTTCCAGGAGATCTCAGTGAGGGTGCCTGGAAGATGGACATTTCGCACACCTGTGTCAAGTCCCTCCTTGTGGTGGGACCTTGAGAATTCCCACCAAAGCGTTCCCTGAAGGTGCACTAAGCCTAGGTAGATACAGAGAAATGGGTTTGGATTCATTGGTCAATATGTACATATTTACAGCGTATACTCCTGTGACAGAGCTTTTCATGTTTCATTCCCATCTAGCCAGCGGAGAGCATAATTCATCTCATCCTAACATAGACATTGAAAAGATTAAATTAAACCCTTAAATACATTTATTTCTCTCCATTGAATTAAAAACGAGTCCAAGGTAAGGTGGGGGGTAGATACCTGCTCGGAAGACCTCTACAACACCTCTCACTCGCAAACAGGAGAGGGACCTGCCGGGCCACAGCGGCCATCCATACAAAGCAGAGCAGGAGCTGGACATGGCGCTGGGGCCAAGAAACCACTGAAGATGGCAGCACCATGGCCTGACCAATGCTCACTCAAAAGCTTGACTTCATTTCCAGAATTATTTGGTTCACTGCTCCATTCACATGATACTTCTTCAAGAAATACATTCTTTCAGAGGTCTGAGTCAGCTGGTGGGGCTTTAGAAGTACTTAGTCTTCATCTCTCGCTCCCAAGGTTCCTATGCTTGACCCAGTCTTATTGAAGCCAAACTTGAATCAATGAGACTGGGTCCCGGTGGTTTCACATCCCTAAGGTCTACCCCTGTCTTGCTTTAGAAAAGTTTATTTAAGGATTTCAGCACCTGCATTAGTAATATTCAATATCATATTATTCTAGAAGCCCTCAGGCTAATTTCTACCTCATTTTCAGACAGAAATATCAATAAAATATGCAAACTGATCGCTATCTGGATATGACACCTTTTCACATTAAATTTGTCTTGTTTATAATTGAGTGGGCTATCACTTCGATCTTTTTTTTTCTTTTTTCCTGTTTCAGCTGGAGCAAACTAAAAGAAAAAGACTTTTCAGACATAATATTTTTGGTTGAACCTGAACAATCTTATTATCAGAGCTGTGCTGCTCAGGGGATTTCCATGTTGTCATAGCTGCATTTTGTCTGGGTGGGGAAATGAGGGACTACAATGAAAAGAAAAAAAACTAGCATAGAGAAAAACCCTGAACCAAAAGTACATTTTGTTTTACTTCTGGTCTCTGCATCAAAAGTTGTTTGAATTCTAAGAGATATTTCAGTCCGTCAGTCTCACCTTGTGGCCTTCCTCTGATGCCCTGGAGATAGGAAATCAAATTTGTGAAAGTCTAAATCTTACAGCAGCTGAAGTGTTAGTACGTAGAAGAGACTGAAAGGATAACTGGATCACTTTTCATTTGCAATAAACTTACACTGCTTCTGCTTCCTAATTCAGGGTTCCACAAAAAACCCCACAACACAACGGTTTAAACAGGTAAGACTTTTGATAATCCAGCAAAAATTTATCTGTGCTTCATTGGTCTGCCAGCCCTCTTTGGGTCCCAACATTCTCCTGTGGAGCTTCTGAGTCACCCTAGACCCTCTTACATTTTTAGTCATCAACAAAATCCAGGTCACAGCCCATATGACTGGGGTAAGCATTTTTTTCTGTGCCCTGTGCTTCACAAGTGTCTGCTGTCCATGCGGTGTATCAGCTCCTCAGCACTTCCACACTATCCAGTTGCTTCTTGGATTATCACTTGTGTTGCAGCTATTGAAAACTACTAACCAAGCAAGTAATCTACAAGTTCTTATTTCTGTTTGCTTTTTAGATTGTCCTTTCACATGGCTTTTATTTTCCTGAGGACAGAAAATTCTGTTTTGGTTCTGTTTTGGCTCCAAAAAATGAAAAAGGCTTCTGCACCTATGGTAGATTTAAGTCCTATCAGTACCTGCTTAGAAAGATTAAGTTAGTACATCCCATCCTTCTATCAGCTACATTTTTCAAACATTCCAGTTCAGGGAGATCCCAGAGCATCTGTGGGAGCCAAGTGAAGCAGGTCTTCCAGATACATTCCAGTGTGCAGCACTGGAGACAGGTCATGTGGATACTGATGGTTGGACAATACAGGCATCCTTGTGTTTGAAGAGCACGGTTGGTGTGTCCTGATCAGAAACCCATGGGTAAACCCATGGGACTGGGAGGGAACTTTTCTCATGTTGATCAGATTCAGCATTTTTTGACCGTCTCTGTGGCATGGGGGTTCCTCTGTTCCTTGGGCTATTAGTAAATTATCTCATTGTATCACAGAATGAGGTTCTGGTCCCTCTGCCTGACCTGACCTGACCCACCCTGCACTTCTCCTCAAAGACATGGGGAGCTGGAGGAGACGATGGCACAATTTTGTTTCCCTTCTATGGGGTATCGGTGCTGATTCAAGATGGCTTTTTAACACCTGTTTAGGTTCATCCTCCTTAATTTGTTCATAACTTTAACATGCTTCTGAATCTCACTAAATTGAAGCTTCAAGAAAAAACACCCTAAACATCCTTTAAAAAATCTGCTATAGGATGATCCTTTAGATTATTGCCAGAAAGACAAACTGGGGGATTCATGCAGCTCTGAAACATTTAGGGAATTCAATGAACACTTGAAATTGAGATGTTAATACCCTTATTTGTAAGTTACAGATTGGTACCTAAGACTAAAGAATGTGGTTATTACCATGTTTATTATTACTTTTTATTGTTGATGTTAGCAAAGAGTATGGCAAAGTTCAGGCAAGTAATAAACTAGAGTCCTATCAGAACATGTATTCCATATATACTCAAGCAGCCTTCATACTTAGATTTTTATTTTTCTAAGCAGATATTCTGGGGAGTAGAAATCTTCCATCCAGCTTCAGCTGTGAGGAAGAGGAATTCTACATAAAAAGAGGATTCAGGATCTTCTTTTCCATTGCTTCCTGACATTTCTCACTCTGAACTGCTTTGAAAACTTCTTTCCACATATCTTATCCTTTGTGGAGACATCTTGCAAAAGCTTGTCAGCTGAAGGACTTCACATTAGCCTCAGGCTGCTCTAAGAAGTGTTTTGCTGGCCCAAGAGCAGGAGCATGTGGGAGTCAATATTGCTTAAGGCAACATTGCCATGGACAACATAACTTGAAGACCTCCGTGGAGAGAGAGAAAGAGCGTGAGAGTAGACACTGTTGTTATTCAGCTGAGAAGCCAGCTCTGGTAAGAATGTTGGGAAAATGTAACTAATTTGAGTTAATCTGGAAGATATTGTGCTTCCCTTATGACCAAATGACTTTGGTCTGCAGAGTATGAGAGCAACATGGGGTAGAAGATATGTAGTTTGTCATCACATTGTCCTCAAGAAAGGAGTCATGTGTAACAGAGAGCAGAAATTTTTTACTGTTTCTTTGAACTGTCTTTGTCTTTGAGGTCTTGACACTTAAAATTTCTGCTTTGAACTTCCTC